TATAATTTTTATGTTAATTACTAAAATATTTAAGGCTATGGACAGCTTGGACACTTTGGATACTTGGACGTTTGGACGTTGGACATGTCCAAAAAAGCTTTGGACATGCCAAAATGTACAACACTGCTCTAACCCTAACTCTAATTTAGGCCAGTTTTAATCCGCAAGTTTTAATCTGACGCACGACAAATATATTTATTCAACAATATTATATAAAAACTTAAAAAATTAAAATATTTAAATAGAATAAAATTTACTAGCAATTCAGTAATTCAATTTGAATAAACTTTTTTTTATTTCATATAGTTCACGAGGCTTTATAAAAAAAAAAAAAGTTTATTCAAATTGGATTACTACTGTACATCGCTAGTAAATTTTAATTTTATTCATAAAATCTAAATAGTCTCGTAAGGTCATTTTCATAGCAAAGATCCCATATGAAATACAGAAAATCAGCTAAAAACAAAAGGCTAGAACTAATTTACCCTCGACCTAAGTTCTGCTAAGAAGGTTAAAACAAAAGAATAATTTAATAATATTTAAAAATAAGGGTTATAAGAAAAAGTTTAAATTACCTTATTATTTATTTTAAAAAATAAATTTTCATATCACGGCCGGATCTAAATTTTTTTTAAACTCAATATATTGTAGTCTGTGTAACCATAAACGGTTCCACTGTACAATATAAAAAGCGTAAAAATTAATGCGTACTCATTCCAATTTTCGTTCGCCAAAACTTGACTGAAATCTGATCGTGTTTATATTAACCTGATATTCATTTGCTATGTCTTTATATTCAATTCCTACTCAAGCCGGTTCGGCTGCTATCCCAATTGTTGCTCCGACTTCAGAAAAAGAAATTCCTAAGAACGTTCCTTCTAAATGTTGGTCTTTTGCTTAAATTTTCGCTTTTGCTTATAAATATAGGTACGTGTTCGTATTTCTTTATCTAATGAATCTTTCTAATTTCCATTATAGATTCAACTCAGGATTCCAAAGCGCGGACTTGTCGAAATTTGATTATACATGGTTATTGTAAATACGAGGGAAAAGGATGCAAGTTCAATCACGATATTGTAAGCTGTTTCAACTTGCTTTTTCCCGCCTCCGATTATATCAACTAGACCGTGGCAAATCTTGGAATTTTTCGATTTGAATAAAAGTTCATTCATTGTAGTTGAATAGAATCAAATTGCACTTATTTACAACCGATTGGTACAAGAATTGTTAAACTACATCCTTTTTCCTACATTAGAACAAATCGACATCTCCTCCAAACAGTCCTGAAACGTAAGCTATAAACTGATCTTGAATAGGCATTACTTACTTTTTAAATATTACTCTATATAAACTTTAATGGTTGAATTTATATTAATTAGGGCTAAATCCAAGTTAAGCGTCAATTCTCCTGTATTCAAACCGTCTACTATCCTTTCGACGATTTCTCCGGAGGTTGTAAACGCCCCGCCATTCATTCCCAAAAACCACCAATGTTAGTAGTTGAGTTTGGCTTACCTTGCGCAATAATACATGCTTATTTGTTCATTAATTTTTTCAAAGTGAGCGTTGATGAAACACCAATCACTCCTCCAAGTGCACCAGGTAATAAGTTTGTATTTTTTCTTATCTTTTAAGTGAACTTATAAATTAGTATCTCATTTACTTGAATTATTTAATGTCATAAGGTTCACCACAACAGCAGCTTTTTGATTCTGGCGAACACGAATATGACAAAGAGTACCGCACGTTGCATTTTTTTTTTTTATCTATGCTTATTAAATATGTGGCTGTTATTTTAATTTTTTCCTTATTTCTGCCGACTTTTGTCTCTAGTATTTCGATATTTGACCCTACTATTGGTTTCTACCCATCACAGTCATTAACATCACCTAAACCGTTTTTATTATCCCCGGACAATGTCAAAAGCCACGGCTTGAATTCTCTTGCCAATTCCTTTGCTTCATTGGTATTAAACAATAATGTCAATTACATTTTTATAGCAAGTTTTTAGTAGGCATTTTGATTTATTTTTCTTTTCCTTTTTTTTTTATTTTTATTATTTTTATTTTTTTTACTTTGATATGTCACATTTCAGGCAACGCAATTTTCTGCTCTTGACACATTGCCGGATGTGACAACTCATCATATGAATAGTACAAGTTATTTCACAAGTTCACATTATGTGGATCCATTTTTATATCAATCACAGCAAACATTAATTCCTCAACCGGTACATTTTTTCTTTTTAATTTAAAAATGCCAGCAGTTTCATTTTTTTTCAAACCTTGTTTCTAGTAGAGTTGACTCTCTATTAGATAAAAGCAGATTTTTGACAACCCTAATTGTAATTAGCATAGTCTTTCTAATACAGTTCTAGTGATTGACTAAAATTATGTTTTTGTACAGCTTCAATATCACCTTTATACATCGCCACTTCCTCATGTTTCA